ACTTAAGCTTTTCCCATAAATTGGGGATTTTCTAAAAGTTATCATGCTTGGCAGGCGGGTTGACAACCAGAGTTAGGCTTCGGTGATGTTTTGAGAGGGACGCTGCTGCCCATTCCTCGACCAAGTTTCCTTCCTTAAAGTTTCCTTAGTCGCTTACGACAGCCACGGGAAAAAAGGGATAGCCCGTTCTATTTCGGGACCATATGGTGACAAAATTACAATAATTCAACTTAATATATAAAATACTAATTTATCTTTCTATCTATACGTGCGAAGTTAAGACGGATCGCTAGTTCAAGATAAAACAAAATATTTTTTTTATAAAATTAATAATAACTAGTTCTTTTTTTTTTTTACATCACAGGGGGCAAACGAGCATGCGGCTCACCTGATGGTAATTGACTACCACCGCCCATAGTCACCCACAACACCTACGGCATTGCAGATGTTCTGCCGGCCGTTTAAAAAGGAATATGCTCTTTTCTTGAAGGTTATGTTGTCGTATCGGTTCGGAAATTTTTCATGTTTTTTTATTTATTTTCTTCAACATAATCATACCAAGCGCTTAAGTTTCAAAATGGGATATCTTGTTTTATAAAATACCAAATAACGAACATAACTGTTTCATTTATGTTTTTTTTTATGATTCTTTTGAAACAACAATTAGTGCTTATGTATCGGTTTCATACACACCGCTTCACATTCCAATAGTTATGGGTTCTATTCCTGCACAATACAAGCATTACCATTCATAATTATGTCCGCTTGTATTGATCTGGGTATTTTATACCTATATGCAATGACTTAAAAAATAAAGTATTTTGATTATCTAGTACCCAAAGTACAAACTGCCTTATTTAGGACTAGATTAATTCAATCTAGTCAAAGATTATGACCAGTAGTATATATTTATTTATATATATATATATATATATATATATATATATATATATATATATATATATATATATATATAAAAAAGCTACTCTACATCTCATTAACCATATAATCAATCTTCATTATAAAAAATATCCATTTTAATTTCAATTAAAAGAATTTTAATAAAGAAGTCATTTTGTCGGATATTAATTATAATTTTAATTATCTTTATTACTTTTGTACGTCGCATGCACGACATATATATATGAATAAAAATACGTTTTAAAAGAATTATTCTATTTTTAAAATTACAAATTTAGAGTATTTAAAAACCTAACTGTATGCTCATGTTTAAACAAGGTCCATATAATTGTAAATGGATCTATTTGATTTATGAATCGTTTATCTTACTAAAGCAAGCAAGTGTGCAAAATAACTTTAGTTATTACCGTTTATATCAGTTTATTATAATAATATAAAACCTCAGAATATATAACAGTAGTGAAATTAAAATACTAGTAACTTTAAAATGGTGTACGTACCCAACTATTAGTTGCGGCTAAAGAAATAACAGATGGCGGAGTTCGTATTATCTATATTGCTTCTATTAGTCCTAGCCTGGGTAGTCGCGATAGAAGTGTATTTGAAATTATGAGATTCGGGTTTTGTGACTATAGATAAATAGAGAGATATTGAACGAGGTCTGAACTCGGGTAATCGCCTTGCGGCTTTCTCGTCTACACCAAATATGGCAGTATATAATAATTATAGCTGACATTATCATTTTATAGTTGGATGAACTAAATAACAAATAGGATATAATCACTATATTACTCACTTTGAAGAATATATATACAAAATCATAGTTTTAGAAATTTTTGGTTAATAAATTCGCCCATTTATTACCAATAGAAAATGTGACTCTCTCTTAGCGTCTTAACGACTTAACCAGATACTATGAAATTTGGTACGCATATACTTTATAGGATAGATATACTATATATATATATATATATATATATATATATATATATATATATATATATATATATATATATATAACATATATATAAAAACTATTTTCCTGTATACATAAAAATATTACTTCAAATTTCTTTAATTTAGAACACGGAATCATATAACTATAAGTAGCTTCAATCGATGTAACATGAAAGTATAATCTATAGATTTTTAATATAATTAATCAAAAACCGCTGCGAAATTTGTGCTATACTATGGACAGAAGAAAATATGAATCGTTTAGAAATTGTAGGGTGAGTAAACACACATAATATTTGATAGTCAAGAATGAAGGAAAACAGCATGATACGTGATACATTGCCTTCAGTTCGTTATTTAGATGCTTTCCTCAAAGTTCCCTCCTTTTCTATCAAGCATCGTTTGCGCGTTCATTTTTCCTTATGCACATTATCTTGCACAGCCTATGCTCCTTACATGACCGCCCATAAAAAGGAGTCTAATTTTGTTAGGGATCTGATATGTATCTACAATTTGTGGGACATTTAAGCCAGGGTGATCAATTTTTAAGGGTGCAATATACCCGATAAATAACTAGGAGAGCAGAAGTTTGCAAGAAGTGTTAGCATTAAATAGTTTTTTCAGTTTGGTAAATATGTGTCAAGTAAATTTTGAATTTTTATTAAAAAAGCTTTTTTTTTTCATACCTACAACTTAGAATGGCAAAATATTTGATGGTCCACAGCCCATTTGATAGATAGTGATAACTATTGTTTATAAAAAGTATCATGTATTCCTTTATGACATCCATAGTATGTTTTACGCGTTTTTGAGGACTAATATATTATGCCTCTGTATTTTGTAATTTTTCTGCTTACTCTTTAAATCGAATCACAACCATGCAGGTAAAGCTCATTGGCGATGGAAACAAGAGTATAGTAGAAAGATGCTTGACAACTTTGGTAAAGTAAAGAAAGAATGAAATTATAATTTAGTGCTTGATTTAACACTTATTTAACAATAATCAAAAAGAAAAAGAAAAGTACTAAAATGGTTCAGCTATATGCCATGTTCTTTTGAACATGACGCTGATTTTCAGTGGCACCAATTTGTTAAAGAGAAAGCACCACTTAAAACAAAAAAGAAATACTGAACTGAGTTGCTAAAAATAAATAGCGTGTAAAGTACAAAATTAATAATATAAACTTCAGTTTAGGAGGATCTTAGATAAACGTGATGCATTTGTGGCTAGATATGAATTTAAGATATATATATGTAAATAAATAATAATATAAAATTATATTAATAATAATATTATAAAATATATATCCTCATATTATAAGTAAATAGTATAATTATTTTTTTTATATTCGTGTTTGAGCACCATACTAAATTATCTATTCAGAAAGAAATAATTAAATGTTCAAAGCACGGTTGTTAAAAAAATTTGTGCTAAAATAGAAATAATTCAATGAAACAGGCTACGAAATTCGAGGAAGACTGGTAACACCATTAAGAGAGATAGATAGGCACAAAACCGAAGAGACAGCCGAAATCGCGTACTTGCCCAGTTTTACTCCTGCTGATTTATAAGTCAACAATACTGTATGTTATGGGTATAGTTTGCCTCACCATTTCTCCAATGTTGGTCAAACTACACTCCATCTTCGGGACTAAAACAATGTCTACAATCTCTTGAGATAAATTATCTTGACGGGCCGATAAACAGATCTACACAAATGAAATAGTTTCCTATAGCAATGTTTTATTATATTTTCACTTTTGATTTATATTTCATACAATGTACACGAAATATCATAAATAGATATGCTCCACAAAAAATAGCGATTCCAATTGTGACAAAATTAATATTAAAAATGTCACGATTTAAATTTAAAACGTATAAATTCCATTACCCAATAATTATATTTATAAGAGACACATTAGATTTAAAAATATCGTGGTTATAGGTACTGGCAATTTTTCCTCCATAAGAAGCTTTGCCAATTATACTAGTATCAATCGTGATAAAATTAATAAAAGATCAATACAGAAGTACATAAACGGTATCGATTACAAAAAATATAATTAAAATTGTTTCAAAATATTATTTATGATTATATACATTAATATAAATCGCTTAAAAATATAATTGAACGGCGGGTAAACATATACCATAACTATTTCAAAATCGCCTACTTCTCTGCCTACTTTATAAGATAATCAGCGTAAGAAAAGAAAGGTAGGAACATATGTATAATTTAATTATTTTGGTAACAAAATTTTAAATAAGTTTAGTTTACTCGGAGAAAAGAATCAATTGCAATTTTAATAATGTTCAGAGTAAGTAAATACTTAAAAACTAATTAGTATCATCTTATATTACTAATATAATATATAATTAGACGATGCCTTTAGATGGGAGATATAAAAAAAAATCTTCTTAATATGAGTCTAATAAGAGTAAAAATAGATAAATAAATCATTTTTAGAAATTTTGTCTAACTGTCTGTATGTTTGTTCTGGTGTTATGCAGAAAATACTGCACCATATTAAATCCTTCTCTTCATAGTTGTATTTCTAAAGATTTAACTGTATGTATGTATCTAACTATAATCTGGTATAAGTTTTATTATTATACGCCATCTAAAATAATATACTTCATTGCTTTTCCTACTTCTGAAATCCATATATACGAAGTAATGGGTAAAAATATAGTTCATCTATAAAACAAATACGTAACCAATAATTTTACTAAATCTCTGTTTCAGCTAATGATTTTATTACAATATAAATTAATAATAATAATTATTAAATAAAATAATTGCATTAAAATTATTTTTTACCGATTACCGGATATATACTAATTGTTATTAAAATTAAAAATATAAATTACTTCTACAATGTGATAATTTAATAAAAATAATTTAAATATTTCGCGCTACTATAAATTTTGAGGAATTTCTCAAAAAAAATGTAATATTTCACCAAATACTTTTAATTTTATTATAATTGTTTGATTTAAGATCACGATATGATCTTACTAACAACAAGGTTCTAACTTAGGTTATAATTTCCACGCCCTGTGCCTATAATTACATAAAATATCCAATTTTATCGAGAAATGTTAATACTAAACTTACCTCACAGTACTTCGAAATCACATACGAGTCGAAAATACACTACAATTCATTCACGAAACTACAATTAATTCACACACGAAACTATAAATCCAAAAAAGCCTTCAACCTGTCGCGCGCTTTTCTACACGAAAAATCGAATTTTCCTTGTTCAGCGTGGAAAATGAACGAGGATCGTCCGTCAACTGAATGTAGGGACACCACACACCACGCGCGTAGGTCCCAACTTTTGACGCATGCGTGGACACCAAGATGTCAGATGTTCAAACTGTTTAGTCCTTGAAAGAGCTTTTGTGATTATGTTCAGTGTTATTATCCTACATTCGTGTGCAGATGCAATAAGAAAATTTATTCCACAATATTATATGCTAAATAAACAGTTGTTTTAAGAAGGACTCATTTTTTTCTCTGGATATTTAAATAATGAAATATTCATTGACTTTATAAGTAATAAAGTTGCGCTATATATTTTTAATGATCTATACTCTTATTATAATTATATTATTATTCACGACATACAAAAGTTTAAAACAGTCTTTTATCATTATTCAGTAATTATTCATTATTTACGAAAACGCTGAGAATTATATCCGAAATTGAATAGTTAGTAAAAAAAGATATTTATTTTAGTGTTATTACTGTTTTCTGATGAAGTGCTGTAAAAAAATATTAGAGACAAAAATGAAAGAGAAATACAATTAATGGGCAAAGCTCTGTAGGGTAACGAAGATATGAATAAATATCACTCTAAACTCGACGGCACTTGGGCGATATTTTTTTATTTCACGAACCAATGCCGTTAGAAAAGACATATACCGACATTCGTAACAAAAGAAACAAGCTTTATACTTGTACATAAGATTTATTACAAAGTATAAACAATATAATAAGATACTGAGAAATTCATAAAACAGAACGACAACTGCAATTAAATGACATTGCAATATCTGACACAAAGGGGCCTCGCTCGACATATTAGCCGAGACACGGGCCGCGGCCCTGGTTTTTATGAGATCTTTACTTCCATTTTATATTAGACTAGAAGAAAACGACACTGCAATGCTCGCGTAAAGCTCGTTCTTCTGTTCCCAGGGGTATCCCCAAAAACCCTTCCGCAGTAAATGCCTACGTTGCATCAAGCATTGAAGTACTTCGGTGCAAATTTGAAAAGTTTTCAGCCTTTATTGTTCCCGAAATTTCGTGATAAATTAGTGAACTTAATTGTCTTATGTAGGTATGTAGATTTCGTGTGGCGGCGTTTGAAACTTTGTATATATACTTTGTTCAGATACAGATAATATAATAATTTCCACGTTGACTGATAACATTTATTATGGCCGTGTGGTCCCGGCATAGAATAAGTCAGCCCTTCCCTTTTCCTGGGTGTCGTAAAAGTCAGCTAAGGGACGGCGAGGGATGGGCAGCAGTGTACCTCTTAAACATCTCTAAAGCCTGACTGCGGTTGCCAATCCGCCTGCCAAGTGTGGCAACTACTGGCAAAATCCCCCATGGGAGAGGCTTATGTTCAGCAGTAGACGGTTAAAGGCTGATATGATGATCTACATATATAATGTTACTAGAAGCTTATCACTCACCTGCCGTTTCATCGACCACTAAATGGTTAATATTCTTTTTCTTTCGCTTACATGCAAACAAAAAAGATTTCTACTTAAACTAATTTGTCCAATAGCACTTCATAATGGGATAATTACAACCTACGTCGTCCTAAACAACTTTCATTAATCCTGAATAATTAAATATGACAGCTTTAATGAATTAGAGGGAGACTTCATACAAAGTCGTCCGCACTGGTTCGTCATCATCATTATATCAGCTATTAACTGCCCACTGCTGGGGGGAAGGGGGGAGGGCTGCCAGCTAACTACCGTAGTCAAGCTTTTAGTGATGTTTTAAGAGGACCCTGCTATCCATTCCTCGACAAGTTCTCTTAGTTGCCTCTTACAATACCCACGGAAACGACAGAAGTTTTGTATTAGTTCTTCTGTCTTTTTCTCAGCAACTACGATTACGTTATAGTACCAGCTGTGAACTGAACAATAATAATAAAATTAATGAGTACATATTAATCTGCGTAACGATGGTGGTTTGTTTGCTGCAATTTTGGATTTAACAGTCGGCGAAATATGGGCATTTCGTGTATTACGTTCACTACAGTAGTAACATTTATTTAATGATATTGATGACCTTGTTAGAGATTATAGTCGTAAGCATACTTATTAATTATTTTTATTTTATTATGTTCTAGGACTCAAGATCTCCATGTCATAAATGTTTGTATCATTTGAGTGTAAGTATGCACAGATTGCAATAATTATTTGCCATCAGACGGGCCTCAAGCTCAATTGCTACCGTTTTATGTTCGAAAGGCAATATTTTGTATTTGACTTTGTAACTTTGATTTATTAAAAATGGTGCTCTTATTATAATAAATAATTTGATACATTTGACCTCTGCAGTTAATGTCAATAAGTCATCGTATCTGACCTATAAATAATTTATAAGTTAGCTCGGGCCTTTCATTCAAACTGAAGTTTTAGACAATAAAGTTATTTAAACATATTTTTACTGAGTTCAACATATTAAAGTTGTTGGAGTGTAAATAACAAATATTATATCTAGATGTCACCTAATATTATCAAAAAGTTAAGCAATTAATGAAGTTGTCGACGATTAATACCAAATTGCAGACCAAACCTCAAATATAATTTATTTATATAGCTTCTATTTACTACTTCTTTTACTAGATCTATTAAATAGTTTGAATAAAAGAAATTTGTATAAAAGTAGTCTGTGAGTATTTCTATGTCACTCGTGTTTCTGTCTTGAAGATGTGCTTGCATAACTGTTTTTCGATTTGAAGGATGGGAAATTTAGCGGCTAAGACCATAGATGTTAGAAAAAGCAACACATGAAAGGTAATTTTGTTATGTCCATGGAAACTGTTCTTATTTATTGGTAACAGTAGAGTACTTTCCATCAAACAAGCCGTCAGCTTGTTTGCCATTATAAGTTCTCCTAATATAATAAATGCGAAAGTTTGTAACGACGGATGGATGGATGTTTGTTATTCTTTTACGTAAAAGTTACTAAATGGATTTTAATGAAAAGTATAATTTATAAACTATCTAATCACTATATAGCTAGTATTACATAATAAAGTAGGTATTTTAACAAAAAGTCTATATATTTAAATTTCGAACAGATCTCCGATGAAGGCAGACCTTGGTACTATGAGCTACTAAATTTATAAGGTTTAATATTTTCACACAATATGGTACCTGATTCTTCGTTCGCATCTTTCGTTCATTTGTTGAAGAGACCTCAGGCATTTCAATTTCCGTTAGTCACAAAACCATTTGAACAATATCGAGACTTAAATTACTTTTATATCTTCAATCACAAACAGACTAAAGCATTATGGATATTTTAGTTGATCGATGGATAAGTGATAAAAATCTAGATTACTTTACCTAAAAGAGGAACAACGTTTCCAACAATATAAATCGCCTGAAAGATTTTCACGACATTGCTTCAGAGATTTATGCGCTATGTACGAACTTAGGTTAGGTAAGATAAAATGTGTTTAAGGTATCGATCTCGTGATTTATTTGTGTATTGAATATGTTTTGGGGTTTTGTACATTGCTATAGTAGTGTCGTTGAAATTTGGTAATCGGTTTTTGTATTAATCTTTATTACAGTTTATTAGGTTTACTTTTTTTTAAGAGTTTCGAATGAAAATGAAAAAAGCACTCATGATGTGCCATATTTCTTAAAATAAATAAAATTTAATTTAAAAAATTCCTTTACATTCATTACCACTGATTTTTACTTGTTTTTTTGTAAATACCATTAAGATTTTTATATTATTATTTTTATACTGGTGGCAAACAGGCATACGGCCCGTCTGATGGTAAATGGAGTTACGGTAGCCTATGAACGCCTGTAACATCACGCGCGTGTTACTGCGTTGCATTGCCCTTTTTGAAGAACCCCATGCTGTAGCCTCTTGGAAAAAAATATGTCTTCGTCTTATGTAAAAAATACCATTTTCCAATCAACTTAGACCTATTTATTGATTATTTTAAGATTATACGTATAAAGCGAAATTTCTATTAAACTGTGTAACATGCAGAGTAGCTTGTTCATGGCCGATATTAGAATCGCCACATAACTGCACTCAACTATAACACAGTTGCTTTGAATATAGACAGCTAATCCGCACATATGAAACCGACAAATATATTCAGCAAACTTGATGATATCACCTAGTCGCTCATACCAGAGGGAGACTTTGTGCAAAAGTCGATTGCTTGGGTACCTCTGTCCCATTCGTGTTTCAACCGTGAAGCAGTTGTGTTTGCATGACTGTGTTTCAGTTTGAAGGGTGGGATATGGCGTGAATTTACTGGGTACAGAAAAATAACACCTGAGTCCTCAGGAATGGCAACGCATGGGGGGTATCATGGGCGAAACAGTATACTCTGTTATGTCCATGATACTGCTCATGTCTATAGGCGAAGGTTACCACTTTCAATGAGGGGGGCCGTCAGCTTGTTTGCCATTCTAAGTTGTATAAAAAAATTGTGTTTCAGTATACAGATCATTTATTCATAATTTACAAAATTACAAATCCAGTTTCAGTTACTCCCATAACAAATTTATCATGTTCTATTCTATTTCAGAGAAAATTGAGTTTTATATAATAATAATTAAAATGTTTAAATTTTGCTTTTTTTTAAGCAACTTTGAATGGCAAACAAACTGACGGCCCACCTGATAGAAAGGAGCGACTGTCGCCTATAGATAGCAGCATCATGGACATAACAGAGTATACTGTTACACCCATGATACCTAAATGAATCAGTAAAAAATAAATTATAAATTAATATTAATTGAGAACAATAATAATCACACCACTTCAAACTGTAATTACATCAATAAATTTCAGAATTAGAGATTATATATTAAGTATTCTACGTGGTAAGTACATAAAATACCCATTTCATGTCTTTTAAACGTGTTTGAATAATAAATACCTTAACACCCTTTCCAAACATTCATCATCATCATTTCAGCCATTATTCACTGTCAGTCCACTGCTGCCAATAAAATGCCATAAAGAACGATCCGTGATTGACCTACATCCACTGACTCCTAACAATGCATTTCCAAACTTCA